ACCACTGACTCTGATCAGTGTTTCTCCTCTGTATAGCTTATTGTCATAGTGATAATAAAAGTAATATTGTGTCTACTCTGTAAGTCGCTTTGGATAAAAGCGTCTGCCAAATGCATAAACATAAACAACTGCTTTGAATAGTTGTGATGGAAAAAAGGGAAACAGTCTTTAAGAAATAAGAGTTACCAAAGCAGGGGGCTAAATTATACATCACAGATGCACAGCTTCAGTTTTTTCAGTTTCACATGAACATGTTTGAGCCAGAAAAGCCCTAAAGAAGCCTTAACCCCGTCCCTGTTCTGTGTCTTTTCCCAGGTGTTTGCGGTGGTGGTGTTTTCCTGCATCACCACTGAGGGCTACATCAACCCCCCCGACAGCGCCGAGGCCAGGTGCATCTTTAACCAGAACGCCTCGGCCTGCCGCTACGCCGTGGGCGTGGGCGTGCTCGGCTTCCTGCTCTGCTCCGCCTTCCTGCTGGCCGACGCCTACGCGCCCTTCATGAGCAGCGCGCCCGAGCGGAGGCACCTGGTGCTGGCAGACCTGGGCCTCTCAGGTGAGCAGAACCTAAAATCAGACCTGGGCCTCTCAGGTGGGGGGCGGTGAAACTGCTTTGAGGCTTTTAAAGCTGTTTATCGGGGCTTTTAAAGCTGTTTTGAGGCTTTTAAATCCGTTTTTTGGGGTCTTTAAAGTGTTTTTTTGGGGCTTTTAAAGCTGTTTTGGGGTTTTAAAACGTTTTTTTTTGTCTTTTAAAGTTTTGGGAGGGGCTATTAAAGCTGTTTTTTTGGGCCTTTAAATCTGTTTTTTGGGCTTTAAAGCTGTTTTTTGAGGCTTCTAAAGCTTTTTTGGGCTTTAAAGCTGTTTCTTGGGGGCATTTATATTTATGTTTGTGTGTATGTTTCTGCATTTAGACGCTTTTATCCAAGGCGACTTACACTGTAGACACAATATTCCAGCTATCATCAACCTGACAATCAGCTCTGTGGAGGAAACCCCCAGTCAGAGGAGTCAGAGGAGACAGGAGGAGATAGAGGGAAGCCCAGACAGAGGAGTTTTTGTAGTTTTTAAAGCTGTTTTGGGGGCTTTAAAACTGCTTTTTGTCTTTTAAAGCTGTTTTCTGTCTTTTTAAAGCTGTTTTTTCTGGCTTTAAAACAGTTTTTTTTTGTCTTTTAAAGCTGTTTTTTGTGTTTTAAAGCTGTTTTTTCGGGCATTAAAACTGTTTTTTGGGGAGATTTACAAGTGCACCTCATAACTGAAGGAGCCTTTTGGATGTGAATTGAACATTTTAAGCCCCTGACCTCCAGTTGGTCGTATCCAATCTGAGGGTCACGATGACCTGGATGTGGCAAAGGGCCAACAAAAGAAGATTAAAAAAATCTGCCGGCTGCTCTCTTTAGCTTAGTACCGTGTTCCCCCTGAACCTCAGGCCCTCTGGCAGCTCTCTGTGTCTAAAAAACAGCCTGGTTCAGTCCTGGGAATCCGGATCATTTCCACCCCGTCTGTTAAAAGTCTCTGCTGGTAAATGTCCGTTTATGAGGCTATCAAATCATTGGATTCTGCTTTTATCGTCTCTTGTTGTTGTTGTGGCTGCAGATGGGTTTTCTTTGTACCGTTTCAGAGTGATGACCTTCTCATTTTTAACTACTGATATATTAAAATGGCTGAACAGAGCTGCAAAACACGTCTCATAGGTGTTGTTGGCCAATTCAGGCTTTATTGTTGCCCCATTATCTGTTTGAATATGTTCTCATTTTGAAGCATCCTCAGTATTTGAGCGTGCGATTTACCGTTTTCCTGAACATGTTTTTGTCCAAAGTTGTGGCGATGCTTCGTGTTTTGGGAAAAATGTAAAGTCTGACTACATATTTTCCAGCAGTAAAACCCAGAGCTGGTGTTTTTTTCCTGTGTGTCTGATATTGTGCGATTCCCATTTGAGAAATGAACATATGTATGTATATTGAATTGGTCCCAGAAAAAAACAGTTAAACTCTACGTCATTTGTGAAGAGTCCCAGTTTTATTTATTTAATTTTTTTAAATCAGCCTTGTAGATACTGACAAACAAACTCGTGTGTCCTCTGTTCATACGTGGTTTGAGTTTAGTTTCTTATCCTGTTAAGCTGAGAGCTTCTTCCTCTCTGCTCTGCATTTTAAACTAATATCTACAGGAACTAATTAAAAGTAGTTCCTGCATATATTGTCACTGGAAGAACAAGTTTATCGTTATTATGTGACGAGTTTGGACACGCTCTGGTTTGTTTGGCGTTGGTGTTTTTTTGTTTTCGTCCGCAGAAATCCGAATTCCCGGAGTCTCTCCCGGTTCAGCGGGTCACTGTGAGCAAATCTAAAGACCTGCAGCCGTCTCAGACAAACCTCTGCTTGTTTTCCTGACGTTATTATTCATTGTTGCAGCAGATGATGACTGAGCTGCAGGGTTGGGGGGGGGGGGTGATGACCTCGCAGATTCTGGTGAAATGAAAACTCACCAAATGTGCACAATGCAGGTCTCATTCGGTCGTCCTTCCAGGAGACAAAGACTCCGCAGTGTGAGATGCTTTGCTCAAGTTTGTTTTTCCCAGTTTGCAGCCATTTTGTTCCACCGTGTGTGTGTGTGTGTGTGTGTTTGAAGATTGTGTGTTTCTCTGGGCCTGACAGTTCACCTAGACATGAAATAACTGTGTGAAATGTTATAGTCCTCATAAGTTATATAAACCCTATATGTCACATAAAAATCAGATGTGACCAAAATCTCAATAGATGAATGCTTTCCTGAATGCATGGATAGGAAACTCTGGGATTCTCAGACCTGTACAACCTTTGGAAAGACACGTCCCCATTTGTCCTATATCCGTCATACGTCCTTATATGGAATAAAAACACGTGTGTGTGTGTGTGTCCTTGTTGCTGCGTCAGAGTGAGAACCATAACTATTTTTCAACCAACAAAGTGAGGTCTTTTTTGGAAAGTGAGGACATTTTCCTGGTCCTCACTTTATTGTGTGTTTATGTGTGTGTTTGTGAGTGTGTGTTTGTGAGTGTGTGTATGTGTGTGAATGTGTGTGTGTGTGTGTTTGTGTGTGTCCTTGTTGCCGCATCAGAGTGAGAACCATAACTAGTTTTTAACCAACAAAGAAAGGTCTTTTTTGAAAGTGAGGACATTTTCATGGTCCTCACTTTATTGTGTGTGTGTATGCGTGTGTCTGGTGTGTGTGTGTGTGTGTGTGTCTGGTGTGTGTGTGTGCGTGTGTGCGTGTGTGTGTGTATGTGTGTGTGTGTGTGAGAAACCTAGTGGGAAAATTTGAAAACTCAATCCTTCTAAGACACTCTAAGAACTACTGGTCCTCAGTTTGTGAGTCCTTTCACTTGGTCCTCAGTCTGAGGTACTTACAAGAGTGTGTGTGTGTGTGTTCAGGGTTCTGGACCTTCCTGTGGTTCGTGTGCTTCTGCCTGCTGGCGTCTCAGTGGGGACGCACTCAGGACGTGCGCGCCATCCCGCAGGACGCCGCCCGGGCCGCCATCGCCTTCTCCTTCTTCTCCATCGCCACCTGGGTGAGAAGCCCCGCCCCCACCGGACACACCGGTCAGCAAAACAAGCCCCGCTTTGGGTCTCTGAGGCAGGAAGTGAAACAAGTCGGCCATCAAACATGGACCAGCTTGATGCTCATTGACATAGATAGATAGATAGATAGATAGATAGATAGATAGATAGATAGATAGGAAATTCAAGGTCCCAGCAGCTTAAAACATTACACCCAACATACATCGTACATATACATACATATCGTACAAAATCACTAGAATACTAAATTAACACAACTACCAGATCAACATTACTAAGGGATAAAAAGTACTATATATATATATATATATATATATATATATAT